CATACATATTGGGGAACATGAACACTGATGATTTTTGCTAGAAGTTCTAGTGCAACAAGTGGAAGAGAGGGTATGCAGATGTGCTTGCTTTCTGTCTTCCCTATCCCTCTCTTTACCACCCCTTCCCTTGTTCCTTTTATCTCTCTCATGAGGGGTGGCGAGGGGAGGTAGAATCCACACTGTTGGTGTGTTCAAGTAAATGAAAGTCAAGAAAGCAGAGATACTGATTGATTACAGACCACATTTTCAACTTAACTTTGAAGAAAAGCTATAATTAAGGGTGAAGGCAAATAAAAGGGGAATTATTTCTGGAAAACAAAGGAAAAATATAATTGTGTGTGTGTGTGTGTGTACATCCCGATAAACAGGAGAATCTGGAGAAACAGAAAAATAGAAGAGAAGAGGATTAATGGTGGAGTGAAGTCCTAGCCGCAGGACAGAATGCGCTCCAGAGCCCTGAGCAGCAAGAATCTGCCACATTCTGTGTTCAGCCCTAGCACTCAGTGCTGGACTTAAGAGCCTGCCTGAACTACACATGCACACATACTATACTCACCCACACATGCACCATACATGCATATTAATACAGAACAATCTGCAGTTTGCAGAGTACCAGTCTTGCACTAATGTAAACTAAGTAAGTAATTAACATTGGCCAATCTTCCAAACGGTCTCTGGATTCCATCTTCTTTCACCTTTCCAAGGATTTAGCAATTTTTCTCTCTTCCTCTAGAATGACTAAAATTTCCCCTTTACTTGATTGTCTCACCAGTATAAATATGCTATACCTGCCATAATCTTCCTTTGACCCATTTTCCTTGCTATCCATTGTCCTATTCTCTCCTTTGTTGAAGAATACTCTGCAAGACTTTTTCATATTTATATATATGTGTGTACATATATGCTTTTCATTTTCTGTCTCTAGTTCTCTTTTGACAGTCTCAGATGATCACTCTTACACTTTAACAGTTTTCATGCTATTAGTTTAACAACCAATGATCCCATGCAATCAAATTCAACAGTTAATACTGAGATGTTTTCACCATATTTAACTTATTAGCACTTTTTAACATAGTTGAATCATTTCCTCTTTCCTCATACTCAGGGACACTACCAGTTGTCAAGTCCTCCAATCTCAGTGGCAGCTCCTTCTCTGTCTACTTTGTCATTTCTCTCATTTTTACAACCTCTAAATCACAACATTAACACCTGCAATACTGTCCCAAGGAAGTGAAAGATGGTTTTTATGGGGCAAAAATGTCTTACTCTTTTTATGAATAGAGCATAGGTTATATACATAGTATATAATCAGATAGCCAGTATATCTGCAGTATGAAAATGCCAGAGGGATGGGTTGGAGCACTTGCCTAGCATACAAGAGGCTCTGGGATCGAGCCCTGGCACCACAAAAGAAAAAACAAACTCATTATGTTCTCATTGCAACTATAACTAGTATAAAAAAAATTCCATAGAGAAAAATATAAAAAAGCTGCGGGGGAGCTGGAAAAGGGAGTAATAGTAAGAGGAGAGAAGCCTTGCTTTACACAATTGAGTTCCTCAGTACTGAACTTCACTCCTCCATTTACACTGACTTGCTTGGTAATTTCATCCAATTTCATGATTTTGGCTATTACGCTGACAAGTTCCATATGTATCTTCATCCTAAACTTATCCAAACTTGAATTCACATCCATATGCTCACCTAAAATCTTTATCTGAATATCCTGCTTCCAGTCTCTTCTGTCTCAGTAACCAGCAGCTCTATTCCTCTGATTCCCCAAAGCACTCTCCTCTTCACTTAGTCTGCTCCAGCCACATAGGCTTCCTTATGTCCCAGTCCCTCATCAAAGCAGTGCGCACTCCCTCTTTTGTGATGCTGCTCTGCTGGACACCCAGACACCCATGTGCTTCCCCCAGTCTCTGCTCTAAGGTCACTTCATGACTGAGGCTTTCTAATACTCCTCTTATCCTGCTTCATTTCTCTTTAGAGCACCCGATTCTACCTGACATACTTACTTTTTCTTTATTCTCTAAGTAAACTGTAAATTCCACAAGAACAAGAGCTTTGCTTTGTTCATTGCCTGGTATATAATTATTTGTTGAATGAATAAGTAAACTACACAAAGTCTTCCTTAACAAAATCAGTAGCAATTTATATTAATATGGATATTAATGTCAATGAATACTAACATTACTTTCCAATAAGAAAAGACTTCTAAATACCTAGTAATATAAACACAATTATACGAAAAAAATCTCTAAAAGGTCCTGCAATTCTGTTGGTTGCTCTAGGTTACCATAACCATATATTTAAAAGCTATAAAAAGTAACTTAAATATCTTACTAGTCACTGGAGCTTCATTTTGATCACAAGTGTCAGCAACTAGAATTTCCTTTTCGTTAGGGCTACGTTGTGAATGAGTTGAAGCCTTGGAAACTTTTCTTAATTCTAAAGAGAAAAAGAGGAAAGACTACATGATAAACAAATAATAGTGATAAAAATATTATCATAATATTATTCTCAAACAGAAACCTGTCATTAAAGTATTTCAAAACTATCTTATTGACATAATTCTTGTATTTTAAGAAGTTTCTGTAGTTTCACTAAGCAACAAAGCTGCAAGTTAGGACAGTAAGTCCTAACTTACTAGTCCTGTGACTAGAAAAGGCAATTTTTTTCTGATCTAACATGACTAAACAACATTTTAATGTTCTTTTCCTCCTTGTGTATCAGTCACAAATTATGTTAATTTAATGTGTTTACTACCTCTTATATCTCCATAATCTTTATTTTAGGGTTTTTATTTTCTGTACAGAAACCTTGAAACAAGTTCTATTAGAAATATTTAGACTGTTTTTTTAAATTTTTAATTCAAAGAAAACTAAAAGGCCAAAGTAAAGGAAAATAGTTTTACTTTATGACTTGAAAGTAATATTTAAAAATATCGTAAACTTTAAGACAAGCAAATGTGGTTAGAATAAAAACAAGACTACTCGGTCATTAAATCATTTAAAACTTTTTTTTCAAATAATTTACATAGCCCAACACATATCTTAAAATGAAAGTTTTAGATTCCAAATAAAAAGTGATGAGAACAATACTAAAATAACAAACCAAGTAAGTCTTTAGGTTGGAATATACTGTTCTTATACAATGAGGAAATAAACCTGAATCATTTATGCTGGATACAAAAGATGACTTTCCTAATAAAGAAAATTGTTGTGCATTGTTTCTTAAATATTCACATTCATGGATTTAAACATGACCTAAATTATATAGATGACATATCCTGTCTGATATGTCCTGTTTCTTCGAGATATACGATCTTATATTTTAATTTAGCTCCTAATTCCATGCAGGATTTTTAACAGTTCTTTTGTTTCCCACTAGATGGTGATGCAAACTCATATAAAATAGGGGAACTGTGCCAAATTTCCAAATACGAATAAAGAATATTCTTACAATGCATTTGCATTACACAAGTATCTTTAGAACATCACACATCCTTTTACCTCAGAAACTTTAGTTTAAAAATTAGTGTTTACCATTTACTTTAGATTAACATTAAAAGAATAATGATGTATCATGTCACATTATATATTTCTGGATTATATAAAAGTTTCAAATTATTCAGCAGAAATAGTAAACTGGGCTGAAATTAGAAATAAATTACTGATAACCCAAAGAACACACATTATAAAATCATTTCTAGATTATCACCAACTGCTACAAATTATAAAAAATAAAAATAGCCAGTTAAAAACATCTCCAAATGACAGGAGTTCCTGCAGGTAAAGCCTGCAGTGTAAAAGTTTAGAGCCAGGAAGACTTATATCTAAATTTTGATTTATCTAAATCTAAATCTACCTACCCTGAGTTTTTAGTCTCCTAAGCATATTTCTTCTAATCTCTAAAGCAAAGGAACTAATAGCCATAAGTCTGTTATGAGAACTGAAATAATAATGTATGTAAATCACTCAGCATATTAATACCCGAAACATAGAGGTTGAAATTAATGTGAAATTTTATTTCCTTTGATCTCACTCAGATACATACAATAAGACTTGTTTTGTTCTGAAATTGGGAATCAAATTCAGGGCACTCTACTAGTGAGCTATATCCCCAGCCCTTTTTAAATTTTGACATAGGGTGTTGTTAAGTTGCTCATACAACCACAAACTTGAAATTCTTCCACCTTAGCTTTGGTACTGCAGACATGTACTGCCATTAAGAATACTTTTAAAATAAAAAAGAAAAGAAAATACTATATTTATGAAATGCTAAGTATCTGCATGTTCATATAAGGAACACATATGTATACATAATACAGGCAGAAAATGCCTTCTCACTTTGCTAACAAAAGTTAAAATCACAGGTTACCTGGACAATGACTAACTTCTTTCCACTAGACTGATTAGTGTAAATAAAATGCACACTTTTTTTAAAAAACCAAAAAACTGAAATACAACTCTAAACCTTACCACTTGTACACACAGAATGCTCCAATTTATTATTTGTTTTTTCTACATATCGGACATGGAGATTCTCCTTCCTTCGTAGCCGGTTAATGCCAGAAAATGAAAAGGCTGTTATTGGTGAATCTGGAATAACATTTTCCTCACATTCAAGCTCAGCTGCTTGATGCTGCTTATCCCTCCTAGAGGAAAATGACAATTGAAAGAAAATGAGTTCAACAAAAATGTATTAAACCATCTACTATATAGTGTGAAACCAAGTAGGAAGATGTGAGAGATTTTATCCCTACAATCTAGTAGTCCAAATCCAAGGATTAGAAAAGCATGCAAATGATTACAGAACTGAGGGGAATGTTACTGTGAAAAGTGAAGTACAAGGTGCATTTGGTGGCACGTGAGATAAAATTAAAAGTACTTCGAATGGCAAAGAAGATCAGAGAAGCTACACAGTCTAAGTAAAAACATGTGGCACTGTATACTTTTGTGGGAAAGGGCAGACTAGAATTACAGGAAGGAGAACCTTGAGTAAATGTGAACACACTGAGAAAGCAGGAAGAAAGGAACTGAGGCATAAAAGTAATGTGACAATTTAACAGCAGTACACAAAGCTGGATGGGACATAAAGGAGGCAAGGCAATTAATTAGACACAGACTAATAGTCTAGGCAAGAGCTTTTGTGCTTTGAAGTAGAATACTGTTAAATACACATGGAAAGGAAGAGACCAATGTTAAACAACACAGTGGCATAATCAACATGACTTAGCAAACAACAAGCGCTGGATTTAACAATGCTGACACCGATAACTACACCAAACTTTGCTGTGTATTTTACATTGCTGGGAGCTATTCAAAGTGCTGCCTCCATAACTTTATCACATTGTGTGAGATGATATAATTATCATTTTACAATTGAGAAAATTAAGACATTCATATCCCTTACTACATTAGCAACAGAGACAGGATTTAACTTCCCACAGACTCTAGGGGCCCTGTCTTTAACCACTTGATGTATTCTCCTATAGGTCATGTGTCTAATGAATGACTATAGTAGGCTTCGAGCACTGGTTCTATCAGGACCTTTTCCAATCTTCTCTTAAGAGAACAGTCACGATGCAGAAAAATCTACATGACCTGACTGTCCCTCTCCCCTATAACTCTACTCCTGTCATACTCTCTTCTTTGAGTTTCCTCGAACACACCAAGCATCCTCCTACTGCAGGTTCTTTGTCCCAGCTGTTCCATCTGTTCTTCCCCGGGTGTCCACATAGCTAATTACCTCATCTCCTTCACATCTCTGCTGGAATTTTAATGTTTAAAACTGCAATCCCTGTTCCACACCATTTTCCTATTTCTCGTCATTCTGCTATACTTATTTTATCCTAGCAAATGCTTTCCAGACAAGTATGCAACTTATTATGTTCACTGTTCTCCTATTAGAAAGTAAGCTCTAAGGTGAGGACCTTCATTTTACTGATGAATCACAACAGGTGTACAGAAGGCACTGCATAACAATTTGCTGAAAGAATCAGTGAGATACTGTCAGATCCCACTGAAGAAATATATAAACATACATTCTTACCAAATCAATTCAGAATCCATGGCACCTAAAGATTGGATTTGGACTAACTTTGATTATTGAGTAAAATTAAATTAACTGACTTTCCCATGTCAAGCCATTAGTGACCTTATTGGTCAACCGATTCTATCATATGTCTGTCAACCATTTACTCTTTACATGACCAAATTAATCTGTCCTATTACACTAATATCCTTATGCTTTTTTTTTTTTTTTTTTTTTTTTTTTTTTTGGTACCAGGGATCGAATTCAAGTCCTTGGGCTTGTGAGGCAGGTGGCAGAACCACTGAGCCAAATCCCTGGCCCCCTACTATACTAACGTCAATTTGTAATATTATTTCAAAGAAAGACATAATGAGAATTTTGTAAACTATGACAACAAAAAATTTTAAAAATCTCTAGAGAACAAAAACATTTCCTTTTCTTTTTGTTTGTTTTTTTTAAGACAGAGTTCTCACTTTATTGAGACTGACCTGGAACTCACTATGTAGCCCAGGATGATCTCAAACTCACAATGATCCTCCTGCCTCAGCCTTCCGAGTGCTGGGATTACAGGTGTGTGCCACCACACCCAGCAAAGATTAACATTTCTTAATACAGATATATATACTCTAGTTTCCTAATAATAGCAATATTACTTACAGTCTACAATCCTGTATTATTCCTTAGAACAATCTTTACAGTTAATTTCTTATTTTTAAAATTTTGTTGGGGGGGTATAAAGCACTTACACAACATGTGTGAGTCCCTAGGTTTGATTCCTTGCACTGCCTGCCCCAAATTATTTTAAACGAACAAATAATATTTGTATATATTTATGAAATTTGAAATGATAATCTGATGTATGTTTATAGTGTGAGACAATATCAAATAAATTAATAAATTTATCTCTTCATAAACTTATAGGGGAAAACATTTAAAATCTACTTTTCTAGTAATTTTGAAATATACAAGGATTATCTATTAAAATTACCATTCTGTGTAATAGAGTTAATATCTAATTTTTAATATCTTCCTGCAATTCTACCCTTATTCTGGAAAAACAGTAAGCTAAAGTCATATGAGAAAGCCTTACAAATTAATGAAGTGTGAAATCTATCTGACCTTGCTTTAACTAATCATATCACAGCGTGCTTTCCTAGTAGTCATAAAAAATTCAATCTGAAACTTAAATAAGTCATGAGAAAAAAGATTTCCTGGCAGAGTCAATCTAGATGTAGCTGGATCACAAAAGGGGAAACAAATCCCCAAAATATAAAACTAAAACTAGCTCTAACTAGAAGTGTCCAAACTGTATAGTAAGTAAACAGGTGAAGACTTTGTCATCCTCTGTCATAAAAGAAAATAGAAGCAAAACAACTTCTCTTATCCAAGTTTATCCCTTAAAACATTAGACTCAGCCTGATCTTCTGAGAAAAGAGCTCATGTCCTAACTTTTGGTTATATTAATTATATATATTTTTATCCTTTGTTCACTTTTCATGCTGATATAGCCTGAGAATATTTTTTTTTTTTTGGTAGTTTTATTTGTAAGCCTTCTCTTTTTTTTTCTCTTTGAGTTTATTGGTACATTTTAGGTATACATGACAGTTACATTCATTATTGGGATCTTGTACCTTTACATGACAGGTCTTGGTTCTCATTTTTTCCCCTTGTCCCTGCCCTCCCTTCACCCCCTCCTCCCCTCCTCATTTACAAACACTTTATTTCCATTTTCTCATATTTTTTTATTTTCCCTTATTACCTTAAATTCCTGTCAAAACTATTTTAGTTGTCTATTCCCCCAAAGCTATAAGGATACAGTGTTTCTATTCTAAGGAGTCAGCAAAAAAGTATTTTAACATTCAGTTATCTACCTGAAGAATTTATATTTCTAGTTAAAATATAATTTAAACTTAATTAAGCAATTTTATAAGCATAAAGTTTGAAATGTTGTTGAAATGTTGTAATTTTCAAAGAACAAAACAAAACAAAAAAATGAAGATTTCCCTAAAGTACAAACCAGTGTCTGATACCTTGATCCCTTAGAACCAATACAAATTTATTATATAAATAATTCAAATAAGACTGATTTTAAAAAGCATGCTGAAGAGGCCCACTGTTCTGTGGGATGCTGTATCATATACTGGCTGTTGGGAAGGCACTGACAATGATTCCCTCAGCACCCTATACGTGTAGTCCTCTGCAACCTTCTGTAGCTCTTGTGACCTTCAGTGAGCCATCACATGTTTCCCAGTACAGTCATGACCTCACATCTTAGTTTGTTTAATTATTTGCTTTCTTTGACTGCTAAAACTGACTCTCTTTTTGCTTTAATTTTTAACCTGATAATGGTGATTTTTTAAAAACTGTGTAATTTACTGCAGTGTCACTAAATTGCTATCCTACCCTACAAGGCAACTGAAACATAGACGCCAGCTCACCTAAGTATCAATTACTGCACTTAACAAGCAGAAGGATGTGGGCATTTTTTCTAAAGTTAAGGGGAATTTCAGGCACTAATCATATAACATTATGGTGGTTTAGGTAGTCAGAGGAAATGAGTTGCTTTTACAAGCTGAAGCTTGCTATTTTTAAAAAAACTGCCCACAAAAAAGAAATTTGTTTGAAGAGAGCAAGTTACTAAAGAAGTTGGCTTCAGTAGAATCACAACTATCTTAAATTTCAGGAAAGACCTGAAAGATACAATGGATTATTTCCTACACCGTTCTGACTAAGCATGCCCTAAACAAAACATACATACTCTTGAGTTTGTCTATGTGATTAACCTTTACTTGCATTTTTACTTTTTTCCTGAAAACATCAATGAGCTTCAACAGGAAAAATCTGAGAACCCTAAAAAGAAATTTTAAACTAATTAGAATTCATATTTTTTCCAAGAGACTACCTACTTTCCAAATACTTTATCTTGGGTCCTAAGGCAATTATCTACTTAATTCTGTATTAATCTCTATACTTAGCTTATTATCTGTCTTTGGTATTCATAAATATCAAGGCTGGTATGTTTAAATTCCATAAGCTATATGCTAAATCACTTCATATGACATAAACTAATACAGGTCAACACTGATAGAAATCTTGGTCCCTGGCATAATTCAGATCAGAATTTATATTTTTTAAGTGAAAAGCAGTATAAAGCACATACAGATTATTACATAACATTTCCAATGACGTATAAAGGCATCATGCTATAGTTAAACATTTTCATATTAAAACAAATACTCACATGAAGTGAGATAAAGACTGCAAATAACATCCTGGCAGCTGAGACGAGCTTAAATTCTGAATAACACTAAAAAATAAAACCTTCTGGGTTTTAGAATCACATATAAAAGACTATGAGCCTGTGTTCTAGCCTCTTTCCATTATAGTGCTTGAGTTTAATTAGAGTGCTGACATTTTCACACAGCCTCAGTCTGATTCCACAACCTCCTAGGCTCCTCTATTATCCCTCTTCAGAATTCCCTTTGGCTATCAGTATTCAGTGGACTGACTAAATGGAGAAATATCAGAATTCCACTGTAACATCTATTACCTAAAAATTTTACTGCTACAAGGGAAGAATGTTAATTCCACCAATGAGACACATTTATACAGATGATGACTATTTTAAGCCAAAATAATACTTTATATCTGCATAGGTTAACAAAGGTTTTGTTGATGTCTACACAAATGCAACAGTTTCTTCAAGAACCTATAACACTATCAGGACTATCCAGAATCCTAAATTTAAAAAAAAATACTATAAGTCAGGGATGGTGTCACACTTCTGTAATATCAGGTATTCTGGAAGCTGAGGCAGGAGGATAGCAAGTTCAAGGCCAGCCTGAGAAATTTAAAAGGCAAGGGATATAGTTCAGGGCTTCCCTCTGTCTCTCTCACAGCACAGTGTGCCTATAGTCAGCTACTTAGGAGGTTGGGTAGGAGGATCATTTGAGACAGGGAGTTTGAGGTCAGCCTAGGCAAAATAGTGAGATCCTACTTCAAAAATATATGAAATAAAAATTAAAAACAGCATAAACTTTATATAAATGACAAGTAAGCTAGCCCTATTTCTACCTTTAGTCAAACTATTTCAGAGAAGTAGTCTTTTCCTTTTGAGACAATATTGAAAAATAGAACAGGGGCTTTTAAGTCAGAAGATAGGATCTGAATGATGATCTAGTTGTGGAATCACAGGCAAGTCACTTAACTATGACCTCTCATCACCCCCTTTGTAAATTAGGAATAATAAAGGGCTGGGGATTTAGCTCAGTTGTTCTGCCGCCTGTTTTGTAAGCGCAAAGTCCCAAGTTTCATCCCTGGTACCGAAAAATAAAAATAATAATAAAAATATTTTGCAGAATTACAGTGAAGGTGAGAAATAATATGAGCAACTGGCATTCAGGATAAAAGTTATTTTTATTCCTGAAGAAAAATGTGGTAGAAATGAGAACAGAGGAAGGAGGAAATTCTGTAGACCTATAAAACTCCTTCAAGCTTCTGAGACAAGACTGTAAGAAGTAACAAAACTCAACTATTTATTTGAAATCTAACTTATTATAATTTCCATAGTATTTACCATAAATCATTATAAAAATTAAAGTGGTTTAATAAAGACATTATTTTCTCTGTGTACTCAAATACTAACCTACGAGATGCACATACTCCTCACATATACGCTAAAACACAAAAATACGGTGACTTTCTTCCTTTCTTTCTCTTTTTTTAAAAAAAATCTATCTACCTACCTAACTACTTAGATTTTGTGGCACCAGGGATCAAACTCAGGGATTCTTTGCTACTAGGCTACATTCTCAGCTTTTTTTATTTTTTTAATTTTGATACAGTATCTTGCTAAGTTGCTCAGGTTGGTCTGGACCTTGTGATCCTCCTGCCTTGGCTTTCCAAGTAGCTAACATTATAGGCATGTGCTACTGTGCCTGGTATTCTTTGTATTTTTTTACTGTAGAGTAATTTCAAATTTTTAAAAAAGGAAATCTGTAATTCTTAAGATATTTTAACAGTATCTTGTATAGCTAAGTAAAATAAAGAAAAGTTGGAGGAAAATATTTTGTTCTAATTTAGGAAAAATACTTACTCAAGTATCTTCTGCAGTTGTTCAGAAAGCTTTTTATTTTCTTCCTGAAGAGCATTCTTTTCATTCACTTAAAATAATGTGAAAAAGAAATCATATGATATCATTATATTAATACTCATGTCAGGCTTTTTAAATAATGTCAATGAAGAAATTAGGATTTCTAATTCTAAGTCCTAATGCTATTCAGGGTTAACACTACTGTGGAGAGCTAATTTGTTACTAGGTAGTGATGAGTGATCTCATATTGTGCAGATCCATGTAACTGATTAACTGATAGTTTTATGTAATGCTTATGGGCAATACACACACACTAGGGAGTACATCTACTTATTCTCTCTGAGGACCAGAAAGAATTACATTCTGTTACTCAGTCCTTTAATTTTAAATACTATTTTAGTGAGTCACTTATCTTAAAAAAATTTGAACAAAAATATTAACAGAATGTTAGTATAATTTTTACAACATAAGCACATTTATAGTCAATTTTTCTTCCTTAGTTACACTGTTTCACAAATAATTATATATACTCATTGAAGTAGCAACTATTTATTTAAATTGACTGCCACTAAACTCTATCTACCCTTACTTAATTTACAAAGCAGAAACTCAAATCTGGACTACTGTAGCCCTCATAAAACTCTTTTCAATGCTTAGCATGTTATCGCTGGTTAAATATGTGCTTCATGAGGAGGAGAATATGTAAGAAATCAATTCACAGCAACAGTTAACTTCTACCAGTGAAAGTTTACCATACTCAAAATTTGTTAATCTGGTGGTTTAAATATCTAAAACATATTTTTCTTCACGGAGTAAATAATTTTGGACTATCTATAATATGTAAGGTTACTTGACTATCTTTTGTTTTATACAACTGGAAGAGACAAGGCCCGGGGTGGGGGAGGAGAAAATGTCAAGGTGAGAAAGGTTACTTTAGGCCCTCAAGATCATAAAAGGGTTACTGAGTTGTACATAAAACTATTCCATCACAGAATTAGTGGAATAAAGAAAAAAACTTTGGCTATAATAAATGGTACAAGTCTAAGAAATCAGGACTTTAAGGATTACTAGGTAACATATTTTTTAGATAAATGGGAAGCTAGCCAGATGTGGTGACACAGAATAGCAACCCCGGCACTCTGGGAAGCTAAGGCAGAGGATCTCAAATATGAGCCCAGACATTTCAGCAAGACAGTTTTAAAATAAGAAAAAAAATGCCAGGGATATATCTTAGTGGCACCATGCCTGCCTAGCAAATGCAAGGTTCTCAGTTCATACGCACTACTGGAAAAAGAAAAACAAAAAACAAAAAACAAAAAGCAAAAAGCAAAAAGCAAAACAAGAAATTAAAAAAGGGGCTGTGGATGTAACTCAGTGAAAGACGTTGAGTTCAATTCCCAGTACCACCAATAATAACAACAATAACAATAATGATGGGAAGATTCATATTTTTAGTATGTATAGTGTATACCAAAGTGAGAAAAAGTACTGACAACATGAGAAGTCAGGTGTTCATTCAAAGAAATTAGTATCTGGACCAGTGTGGTAAGTACAGAAATATGAAGTAAGGACACGTGTAACTGTGAAAGACAATAAAAGCAGGAGGACTTGGCAGTTTGGCCTTTGTAGGGGTGACAGAAATCAAAGATGACATCAGATTTCTGATCAAGATGGCTTACTTGACTCCAAATCCAAATGAAATGATAAAACAACTATAAAAATAACTCCACTGCACTACTAAAAAGACAAAAACAGTTCCACCAGGAGATCAGAGCCGCGAGAATTTCCTGATTTAAAAACAGGCTCAGACTGAGCTCGCTTCAGCAGTACATATACTAAAACAGGCTCAGATTAATGGTAAAGAAAAAAAAAAAAGGCAACAAAAGGGGGCCTTAAAAAAAAGGTGAGTTTTCCCCAAAGATTCTCATATCAATCCTGCTATCAGAAACAATAATGCCCAGAAATTACTGAATGGTTAAATCAAGGGCAGCCAACACTTATCCTTGAGCTAAAATCATGAAGACAGAACTCTAGAAGTTTGGTACATAAGAGGTCATAATAAATACCAAGACAAGGAAATCAGAACAGTGCTCCTGAGTAACTTAAGGTAAAAAGACAGAAGGTACCCTCACATCTAGAGGACAAACTATACAAAAAAGCTCTCTGGCCAGGGGTCTTAGCCTACAACTATCAGTACAGCTCTTGTAAATCAGAGCCAGCTTGCTTTGCCCCTCCCTCCCTCTCTCTTCCGTCCTTCCTTGTAGGGCTCTTGGAAATCAGAGCTAGCTAGCTTGCCCTTCCTTCCTGCCTTCCCCTCTTTTTTCCTTTCTTCCTCCCTCCCTTCTTTCCTTCTCTTCTCTCCCCCCACTCTCTATCAGCAAAGTTGGGATTCTCTGTTGGGCTACAAAAATAAGACTGCATTTATCAAAATGAGTCAATTTAAGAGACATCTATAATTCTAGGTTAGAGTCAACACTTTAAATAAAACTAATACTTAAACTTAAAACTAGTCCAAAAGAATTCACTTCTATATAAGTAGTTTTAATATAGGAAAGATATCTTTTATTCTGAAGGCTGATGGATCATTAAAAAAATAGGTTAAAAAACTTAAAACTTAAAAATGGGATAAAAACAATGTTACTGAAGACAGAATTATTCCCTAAGTGATCCTTCCAGAATCTAGCACAAAAGAATAAATCTGCAAAAAGTAAAAGTGAGGCACCATAATAGACCCAACACCTGTCTAACATGAATTCTTGGGAGAATATAAAGGAAGAAATTCTTGAAGAAAAAGCAGACATACTCTCCCTATCTTAAGCAAACACTTGAGAATGGTAGAGTAGATTAGACATTCTGACAGTAGTCTTACTCCATAGATCCTGCATAAACTGCTATCAAACTGCTGAGTTCACAGGAAGAAAAATCCAAAAAGACTCCCATTCATCATTGTAATCGTCAACAATAAACAAAAGTGTGTGACAACTTCTGCAGCGTAAGCAAATGTGATACTGGCACTGCAATTAGGTGGAGGGATTGAAGTTGAGATCTCCAGTTCAGGCCCAAATCCCTGGAATGGAGTCACAGTGATCCTAATTCACTTACCACTACAGCTAGCAGAAAACTACTCACACACAAATTCCCAAATAGTTCAGATAATAGTTATCTTACACAATAAGATGTTTAAAGATTTAAAAGGTAGAATTTCCAAAATGAACACGCCAAGTATTACAAATAATAAGTAGGCAGAAAAAATTGAAAAGTTTGAGCATTAAAAGTAGGAATGAATAAAACTGATGCACACCAAATATATAATATTCCTTGTGTCCATAACACTAAAAAGGGAAAATCATACACATGCCAAAAACAAAATGAAAAGAAATGCACAAACACAACCTTGCTTGTTACTGCAGGTGACTATTACACTAGACTTTACATTAAAAAATAGCAATGAAAGTAAAAAACTAAGGGAAGAGAAAAAACTAAGATGTATCATGCCATTCTAGTAGGAACTATATTTTCAGGTATCCAATAATCCCACATGATGATGGAGAATTCTTGTTTACACAAGAATACCAGCTGGTAAATGCAGAAAGGATAACATACATAATTCAAAAACTATCATTTTAACAATTTTCAATGAACAACTGACCCATCAGTTTTCATTATGGAAAAAAAAGAAAAGGCAAAACTGAAAAAGAACCAAATAGAATTTTTAGAAATGAAAAATTTCTTTATTGAAATAAATTAGAACACTAACTGCTGGAGAGTAAATTAGTACACTGAACAAAAGATCTGAAGAATGACCTGGAATGCAGCAAAAAAGGCGACAAGGAGCTAAAAACAGGGTTAAGAGATACAAAGCATGGAATGATGAAATTTTACCAGAATCCTAGAGAATGGATAGAAAATATTTGAAGAGCCAGAAGCCGGCAATTTCCCAGAGAGGATTTAATGATGTGATTTTACTGATCACAAAATGTATACTAAGTGGAATTTTTAATAAACTAGTTTTATTCAAACTATAAAACATCAAAAACTAAGGAGAAATCTTAATAGTGGCCAGAGTATGAGAACTGTTACGCAGTGAAATAACCTCACACAAATATAGTTGAAATAAAAACATTTCAGACAAAAACTGAGTTTAGAACCAACTAATGTCCTCTAAAAGAATTTCTAAGGAACATATGTCAAAAAGATAATCACTGGTGAATACCCAAAAATCAATAGCCTTCTTATACACAAATAACAGACACACGGAGAGAGAAATAAGGGAAAAAACTCCTTTTACAATAGCATCCAAAAAAATGAAGTATCTAGGAAGCAATCTAACAAAAGAAGCAAAAGATCTCTACACTGAAAACTACAGCACTCTGAAAAAAGAAATTGAAGAGGATATAAAAAAATGGAAAGATATCCCCTGCTCCTGGGTAGGAAGAATCAACATAGTGAAAATGGCCATACTACCAAAACTGCTATATACATTCAATGCAATGCCAAATGAAATTCCAACACTATATTTCACAGAACTAGAAAAAAGAATCCAAAAATTCATTTGGAACCACAAGAGACCTAGAATAGCAAAAGCCATTATAGGCAA